GTAGTTGTGGTGGTGCTTTTTAACGTTGTTGTTGCCGGTGTAGTTGTCGAGGTGCTTTCTAACACTGGTGTTGTTGTAGGTGTAGTTGTGGAGGTGCTTTGTAATGCTCGTGTTGTTGCAGGTGTAGTTGTGTTGGTGCTTTCTAACACTGGTGTTGTTGCAGGTGTAGTTGTGTTGGTGATTTCTAACACTGGTGTTGTTGCAGGTGTAGTTGTTGCTGTCGTCATGAGCGTCGTCTCATTTGAAGTACTTGCAGATGTAGTTTGTGGAGAGGTAGGGCTGGCAGTTGTTTCTTCATGGTTTGGAGACACGCAGCTCTGCAGCTCGTTTTGGAACACCAGGCTAAGCTGAGAAAATAAACAGAATACTCATTATATTTTATCACAGGATATATACACCATATATCCGTTGTTATAAATAACAACTAGTCCATAACTAGTTTCCCTACATACCCAGGCAATGATTTCTGATTCATTCTTCTGTCCATTGACATCCACAGTGACAACAACATAGTAGAATACTGTCGTAAGAAGGAAAGACAGAACGTAGTTGAGGAGACAGATTTAAAATATAGGGGATGCAATTAGTGAAGGAGATATCCTGAGATAACCCAGATTATATTTTCCACATCCCAGAACCTCAGAGTTTATTAGCTGTTTTCACAGGTTGAAATGTTCTCTCTGTTATTCGTAATCTTAAAGGACAATTTCTAATTTTTTTAAAGCTTCCTATTAGCTTCAGCTGAACCTCGTCATAAACTTTCTCTACAAAAAAATCTAAATAAAAAATCCGGGGACCCTGGGACAAAATCTCATGAAATGGTCAATTTTGTGTCATCTTAGAGGTGCTTGACACAAACAAGTTTGGGAACCGCTGTAGTAGATTCAACTACAAAGTAGTACTGCTGATATGGCAGCGTGTGAGATGATTCTGTCAAGTTGCAAGTTTACCTGACGTCTGTGCATTTGTTGTAGTAATGGAAAAAGGGGAAGGAGCAGCAGAGGTCTCATTACAGGAAGCCTGTGCTGTTGGCGGGAAAGAAAGAATATTAACTTCCACTCTGCACAGTGTGAATGAAAAGTAGGGAACACAAATTTCAAATTAAAACAACTTCAGTTTATGGTGATTATTGTGCCGTACAGTCATAATACTGTAAGGTAGAAACTGGACATCCGTGTGTAGACATTAGAAATTCTTGTATTTCACTACCACACGGAGTTGACATATATGTATATAGGTTTGTTGGATATTTTAAAGACTTGTACTGTAAATTGATAGGTAAAGAAAAAAGAAAAAACATGTAAAATGCATCAATACAATGATACAAATGAATAATACTAAAATATATCGTAATTTCTATAAAATGTTTTTGGAAAACAAAAGTTCAGGTATATTTGATAATCTGTTCCTCTTGGTCATATTTTCCAACATCCTCTACAAAGAAGCTAAAGCATTGTGAAGTTTTGCCTGATTAGGAAACAGACAGCAATCAGACTAGAAAAACAGGTTCCAGTACACATTAGGAAGGACATTTAACATATTCCCATGTGGGCGTGATATGCCTGACATGTCAGACAGTGCAATGTATTAATAAATAGAGGTGCACAGCTGTCAGTCCAGATAAGGTTACCAGATGAAAGATGCTGCTGCTCCATTGTCTGCAAACAACTCTAACCAGTCATAGCTTATCTCATACCTGCCAATAGGACGACCAGCAGAAGTATGTGAAACCAGTGTCGATTTTTGACATGTAGGCCTGGCTTCTTCGCTCTGTAATATAACAAAGACAATCATTTCAACAGTTTGTATGAAATGAAAACAGAAGCTTCATTGTACTGACATTTTTCTCTTTTGATACCTATTGTTGAACAGCAGTTCAAAACGGTGAAAGAGTGAGGCATACAAAAAACTTCTCAGGCTATTCACAAACACTTCTTCCCACCACGCCTATGTGAATACATATTGTAGGCATATCCTGTAATTATGTTACAAAGGTTTTCTCTTTGGTTTTGATCATTCAGTCAATCAACCATATCTTACAATTTTCTGAATAAAGAAAAGGAATAATGCCAAATCAAACGCCAAACACTTTCCTTGAGAACCACTTTTGGGTACAATCAGACTACAGTACAACAGAACAAACACATTATCTTTATCACAGCTTAGGGAAAGTGCAATAGAGACTAGTACGTATTGCACGGTACAGACACATGTTTGTTTTCATGAACAAATGGCTCGGACCAGAGCTTTTCAGTGGTGTTTACATTTGTTATGAAGCTGTGGCGTTACTATGCAGTGATATAAGAAGTTCTGTAGCAGAAGACTTGCATTTCTAACTCTAAACTTTGGTACCTGCTTTTATTATTAATACAAACTAAAGAGTAAAATAGTGTAATATATGTAATATTATGAGATGTAGTGACGCAAACAAGTCAAGGTACGTGGACTACATGAGTCATTTAAGGCGTAAAGAAAAAACATTCAGTCCCTCTTACAGCAGGTTTCACGCAAATGGAGCAGTAAACAAAAAGCTTAAAAACAGTGAAAGTTGAGTGGGTGAAAACATTTTGTCCAGCCTTGAAGAAGGACAGAGTAGAAGCCAATAAAAATCACTGCTCAGCGAGGTGGAAATCCAGGCAAACCGCAAAACAAAAGTTAACTCCAGCTATGTGTTATTTCCAAAAACAAACAGCGACTGAGGAGAGGACCCAACAAATCAAGATGTCTTGTTTCAGTTTGTAGATGATGAAGTCAGAATTTTTCATCAACGCAAATCCACCGACCCATATCCTTCCTGGGTTTTCTACAGCCCCTTAATGTAATCTGAGCATCATTGTACCACTGCAGTGTTTCTGGTGCATACCAGGTGCACCCTCTCTTACACTCTTAAATAATAGTATCAGTAACTTCATTTAATACTTGGGTAAAAGATTCAACAGCATTCACAAACACAGCCAAATATTCACAAAAATGTAAACATAAAACAAGATAATATTACAGAGAGGAAAATAAACATTTAAAGATATTTTAAAAGTGATTAGGTTAGGGGTTTAAATAAAGGAATACATAAGTAATTGACTTAGTTATATCTGACAAGCTTGGTGTATAATCCAGATTCAAACCAGATCCAGCAGTGATTTCTGAGATGAGCAGTGATTCCTAGTTCAGGAAAAGGAGACACCACCAGCACCAGCACCACCACTTTACCTGACAACGGAGGCAAACATGTGCCGACATGAAGAACCATCAGAACAAGAGCTGGAAGCTTTCATGATTTCGTCTTCATTTTCTTGAAACATAACTTCCCGTGGGCAAATTCTTGAAATCTTCAATCATCTTGAAAACAAAGCCAAACCATAAACATTAGGTGTGCATTTTCTTCTCTAACACAATGTTGTTGTTTCTGTCGTTGTTTGGCAGGCTGCTGTGGGAGTTCCCTGCGGCTTTCTCATACGGTATCAATAGGTGACACGCCTCTTGAAACTTGAACAGGTGGATGTCGCACACATTCACTTTACCTTAGTGTTGCAACAACTGTCCACCTCCTGAATGGCAAATGATTTGATTTTAGACTAGATAAGCAAAGGCCCACTGTGCTGTTCTATCATCAGAAATGATAATGTACACAATGTCCCGGTAGGGAAGACATTTTTCATTTTTCTATTTTTGTTTGGCAGTAAAGGTGCGCCTCAGGGTGTGTCCTAACCCTGAGTGTTCTCAGTGACAGACACAACTAGAAAACAAGTGTTTCCAGGGTAACATTACAGCACTTTAAGAGTGCGGCATTGAGACATTTATTGTTGCGTCAGAAGAATTCACGCACCAACATTATGTGTCTGGCAAGTCATGCACCTGCTTTACAGGAATCTGAAAAGGAGGAGCTTGTCTGTCACGCACCACCAACACTGCACTCATTAAAACACACACACACACACACACACACACACACACACACACACACTCACACACACACACACACACACACACACTTATTTCAGTCATTGTTGTGGCTCTTCAAATTATATTTAACAAGGCAAGCACTATATTTAATACAGTTACACCCTGTAGAGGGGACACACAAACACGTACCTCGGAGGGTGTCGGTGATACGGGACTGACGACTGAGATCATTTTTGAAAAGTCATACCTAAGGGACACTAAGAGGTGATTAACTGCACAGTCATCCAAAATATTCTAATAACAGACAGAAAAAAAGCAGTCAGGGGTCAAACTGATAGTGGGAGGGCTCATTAACTAAGTAAGTAAAAGTATTTAAATCTAAATAAAATGACAAACTATCCTAGCAGAGGATGTAAACAAAAGGGAACCTGATTTTGATTATATCTTTATATCCTGGTAAACCAGAGATGTGTTATGTCTACATTATAACAGCTGTTTAATTCATGAAGCATGAATTATGTATTCACATTAAAATAGTACCGGCAACCCTTATACGTACATCATATTGTTTTGTAGTACCAAACAGGTTTTATGCTGTACCAGCTTTAGTTCTCAGTTAATTGAATAAAGTAAGAACCAGAAAAATAGGATAGGTGTAGTTCTCTATCTGTACACCAGGGGGAGGCTGGAGGACAAAGATAACCACAAGCCTGGTTTTCATATCAGTTAGAGAGGGTTGGGAAACAGTGAGAGCAGAGCAGACCCAAACCGTTTTTCTAAAGATCAACAGCCTTTGATTGGTTTCATAATTAAAATGTATGTGAAATTCAAAAAGGGTTTAATGGCTTTATCTATTCCATTTCTGCTGCTGATCATTGTGCAGGATGTTTCGGTCACATACTGCAGCATTTACAACAGCTTCACCAAAAGAGATCACGAACCACACCATTAGGGCTGGGTATCTTTCAAAAAATAATAATACAATGCCAGTAGCCCTTAAAGTGATACAGATACTAATAGAGTACTTTATGGAACGCGCCTTAAAGTCTGTGTGTGTAGATTGGGAATGGGGCGCCTTGGTGTATGCTTAGTCTCATGTGCTCTACGCTTAGGACTGTCATATGGGCTTGCATGTGACCGCTCCGCAATAATTAGTTGAGAAAATAATCTTACCTCAGATCCATTTAGAAGCTCTTCTGGAGCATTTGATCATATTACATGATCATCATGAGCAGATGGAGGGCTGATGCTTTAGGTATTTAATCTTTCTTCAACTGCTGTTTCCAAGGGCAATAATAGACTTGAAATCCTCCGCTTTTAAGCCAACATGGACGACGAGTCCTAATGGATCACATGACTGCTTGATCTTTCAGCTCATTGTTTCGGTTTTACGGTTGCACCTTTACTGTTTTGGATCAATCTGGGCTGCAGCAGCGGACCATAGATACAAATTAGCCTTGTGGCTAACTCTGACACATTTACATCACATTGATGTTAATAAATGTGCACTACCCACAACAAATATAAAGTAAAATAATTTGATGTAAAGTGAACTTTGTCAGAAAATGTTTAGCATGACAGAATCCATTTATTTTTCAAGACAATGTAAGGTAATTATACAATTTGATGTTTTGTGTCTAAACAAGAAATAAAATATATTTGTTAGAATACAACTTTTTCTCTTATAAAACAGGCATGTCAATAACACACAAACATCCGCAAAAATAACAGCCATTCAATGAGTTTCTCCAAGTTACAACTTGAACACTCCTTGAGTAAAAGACACCTCGCAAGATATCTCTGTCCATCGGCAGACACTGTGCAAACTTGAGGTCATATCCCGTAGCCGAACAGATTCTTGTAAATCAGCTTATTGCAGCCTGTTGGTGTTACACTGTACAGCCAAATGGTGAAAATAGTCAAAAAGGAATACTGTTTATACTGCTGCATAGGTTATGTTCTATGTATATAAACTCCAGTAAATTATGTTGAAGAGCAGGTAAGCCAGAGGAAATATGACTCTGGAGTAGGAGTCGATCATGTAGCTGTTGCTCATAATGAAGCTGAAGTGTTGCAGCACAGGGTTCTTGTGGCGTAGCCTGGTGCCTTCTGTGGGTCCGGAGACAGTAGAGTTTCGAGTCTGGGTGTTCCTCTCTGTGTTCGGGGTGCTGGGGACCTCTGTGAAAGAAGTCAGGTCGATATCATTGTCGTGGAAACAGCCGTCGAACGCCATAGCCTGGGTGGCATCGAAGGAGTTGGGGATCTGCAGCGACAGAGGCAGAAAAGGAGAGTTAGCCTGTCCAGATGGTAGGAAATGATTTTCTGATTTAAGAAACAAAAAACTAAATGAGAATGACCTTTGCCCTTCTGAGCCTCTTCATCTCCTCCACTGTAGTGAAATAGTTGACAGCAGCGTACTCGATGACAGACAGGAAGACAAACAAGAAGCTTGCCCACAGGTAGATGTCTACAGCTTTGACGTAAGACACCTGTGGCATAGAGGCTGAGACACCAGTGATGATGGTGGACATGGTCAGAACCGTGGTGATGCCTGGATACACAACACATCATGAGTATTAAAATGTCACCTCACAAATAACATCCATTGTTTGGATTAATTCAACTTCAATACTAAATGCAATAGGCATAATAAAATACCCAAGTTGGATGGTAAAACATCTCCATATTAATATTATATGTGGTGTATCAGCAGTTTTCTAATACTTTAATAACCACCAAAACATTTAAAGGAAGAGTTCAACATTTTGGGAATTTCCTTTCTTGCTGAGAATTATGAAAGTGGTGTCGATATTGTCTATTCTAACTGTCTGTAGGAAAGCAAATAAGCTTTCACAAAATGTCAGAGTAATCATCTAAATAAAACTGAAAAACTAGGCTAAGTGATGCTTTTGCACAGATTTTGAATACAATTACCAGTTACATAGTATCTTTTTAATAAAGCTGTCAAAATGTGTTAAAGACAACACGGTCACATTGGTCTCAGTACCCAGAGAGACACGGGCAGGTACGGCCCTCCTGTCTATCCAGAAAGACACCCAGGACAGCATCACCATCAGCATGGTGGGAAAGTACGTCTGAAGCATGAAGAAGAAGATATGCCTCCTGAGAAGGAAGTTAATGTTGAGCCGATTGTACCAACCTGAAACAGAGATAAATGCACAAAAAGTGGAGGTGAAAAACAAGACTGTCACTCTAGAAAATGTTGCAAAAAAACCCTGCGCAGTATTGTGTAAGTTGTCAGAAAGTAGACGGACGAACAGGGAGAACCTCGAACTCGGATGAGAAAGGGATTATCTTCTTGGGCAGATCTGTCTGGAGATGAAGTTACACAACAACATCTTAGCGCAGATAGGTCCCCACAAGATTATTTCACACCGAAAATGTGACAGTAGAGGAAGGCATGGCTTTAAAAAGTGGGCTTACAACTCCTAAATGCTTAAATAATAAAGCATACCACAGAAGAAATATGAAAATATATTTGAATACTGTAAATAAAAAGGCACATGCTTTGTACGTATGATCTTAAGTTTTTTAGCCATGTAACCTTTAAAACAGAACTTGATAGGTTCTTTAAATAATTTACCTTGAAACAGAGGGTAACAGCTAGAATAACTTTGTCTGAAGGCAACAAACTAACGTGTTCATTAGTGAGCTTTGAAAGTTTTGTGAGCATTACCTTCGGACAGGCTAGCCCCTTACTTCCACTCATTATGCTAAGCTAGGCTAACCACCTGCTGGCGTGAGTTTTATATTGAGACGTGCATACTTATATACAGGGCGTTTCCCAAAGTCAAAGAAGGATCCTTCAACGGTTGAATTTCAAAGTTGCTACGTCATTGAATCCAACCTGGAAGACTGTTCCAATGTCGAAGATCCTTCAAAACTCCACTAAGGTCTGAGACCTTTGTTCAGAGGGTTTTCAAGGATGCATGTGTGTATGATCCGCACTTCTAAAACACCCACCAAGGAAGCATCCTTGACTTTGAGAAACACCCACAGTGTGAGAGTGAGGCGAATAAGCCAGAAAGCGCTTAGACTGTTCCTTTAAAAAAGGGACAGTTCAGGATGTTACTGTGTTACTGATACTTTGTTGTTACAGAGTCGATCAGAGTTGATTCATTGCGGTGGAAGAGCTCTGAAAAGGGAGGTTAATTTATATGTATTTATTGTTGCACACATTCATTTGAGGCTATAGTCATTATTGTTCTCACTGTTTGCCGGATCTACCAGCAGGTGTGAAGGTGAATAAAATATTATACTGTATACAGGTCTAAACATCTTAAATTCTCCCTTTTTAGAAACGCAGACAGGGTTTCGTGACATTGACTATATTAGGTTTAAATAAGGAGCTCTCTGGTCGTTCCCAAACCGGGTACAACTCAGAGGGGCCCTAACGGCTCGAACCTCACATACCAGTACTGCTGTAGAAGGCAAGCCCGAAGGAAGGCAGGAAGTCTTCAACAAAAAACTGAGAGAGCA